TTGTTATTTCCAAAAAGGCCTCGGAAGGCAAGATATGTGTAAGGATCCCAGACAGGGCCTGCAGGATTAGTCTGGTCAGGTACGCCACGGAAAGGAAAAGTATAACCGGGCCTAAGAGTGGAACAGAGGTGAAGGGTGGAAAAGGGTGAGGACATTTTTTGTAAGTTGTCTCTCTAAAACCCCCACCCGTTGTGGAAATTAAAACCTGTATTCCTGCCTGAGGCCAGAAAAAAATGGTTTTTGCTATTTGTTTTCTATTATCTTAAATCTCAGGAGATGGCTCCACAGAGGTCGAGGGTCATGAGATCATCAGTCCACCGAAACCACCAACTACACTTAAATAACAATATCCTGAAGCCAAGACGTGACACTGGTCACGTAGCTCAACCACCAAAACCCCACCTTTGTTCTCACTAATCGATCAACACGGATGTGCACGTATGGAAGTAACATTGCTCAGAAATCAAGCAGCTGGGAGGCGCGGGGTGGGAATGGGTGAATTCACACCCAATGGTACAATGCACGCTCTCTGGGGAAGGCATACTTGTAACTTTGACTCAAACTGTTGCCTTTGTACTCCCATGATAACCTGAAATTTTAAAAAATTAAAATGTTACAAATAAATAAATAAAACCCCCGTGTTTCTGCTTGAAGTCAGGATGGCAGTCTTTTGAGTCTGCCACCCTCCTCATTTACTGACAAATTAATGAACTTCTCTTTTGTTTTCCTCAAACCACTTGTCCTCATTCTTTGTTCTCATTGGTCTGGGACAAGTACTGAACTTTCAGTAACAAGAGATGATCAATAAACCGAATTAATTAGACCATTCAGACAATTCAGAAGTTGGTGAGTATAAAGTGCTTAGACGGGTGTCCTACCTGGAAGCACACTGACACAGGCATGGCAATAAAATAAATACAAACGCACTTTCTGGAACACAGCCCCAAACTAGGCCCAGCTAACTTGGCCAAGCAAAGGAAAATAAAAGTCACTATTGTAAGTCACAAAAAAATAGCCATGCTGTCCTCCCCAAGTTGTAAGGCCACATTCATTTAGTATGCTGACTAGCTGCCCAAGACCACAATGCCATTAATGTAAGTCTTTGGTAGAAACAGTGAAAAACTGTCCAATGAATGCACAGATGTTACATGCTAAAGACATGTATTTGTAAAAAGTTTTTGAGCTTTCAAAGGATATAGTATTATTTGAATCACAGCATCACTATGATTTCATGTTTTAATCTGCACGTGCGTTTCTAGCTCTGAAGGGATTCTTGGGAGCACCAGTTAGCTAACCTGGTTCTTAAAATTACCCCTAACCCTGCCCAATCCAACCGGCAAATGTTTGTAGTTCACAAATCAGGAAGTGGATGATTTAGCGCAAACTAATCGACACTAATAGACAAAGAGCCCAGGTGTGTCTGTTTCGGGAGGTGGTAGCAGGATTTCCGAGTACGCGGTAGGCGGACCCTGTGGTTCTATCTTCGAAGTACAGTATATCCAAAGTCCTAGGACTTTGTAACACTTCCACGGGCACCGCAGCGCCCCAGCCACCGCCAGCTGTCACCTGGTTCCGTGCAGCATCTCAGAGCGGGCCTCCCTCTGCAACCCTTGCCCGGCAGTGTCGCCTCTCAACAGGGCAGCCAGAGTGGCCTATTAAGACATAAATCAGATCATGACCCTCCTCTGCTCCAAACATTTACCTCGTTTATCAGTCGGGGTCCAATCAGGAAAACAGAAACCACTTTAGATCTTTCAAACAGAGGGAATACATTACAGGGAGTTGCTCACAAAGATTAGTAACTGCAGGAAGCCATTACCACCCCCAGGCCGGAGGAACAAAAGGAAAATGGTGTGACATCGAACCCACAATCAGAGCCACTAAAGCCGCTGCTGTTGGAACCACGCCGGCAGGACCAGCCTTCCCCGCGGCTGCTGTTGCTGCCCTGCGGAAAGGCTGCCAGGAGCCCCATGCGGAAAGAAGACGGGGAGGGCTCCCCCTCCTCCCACCCGCAGTCCCCCGCCCGCACCTCCCAACGCCAGAACCTACCCGGACGGCGGCGGACAGGCAGTCTGGGAGCTGTAGTTTGCAGTCTCCGGCCCCAGTTGGGGGGGAGGGGGGGCTGACAGAAGACAGGTCCTCTCCAGAGCAAAACAGGTCCTCTGCCTCGCTCAGAGTAAAACCCGAGTTCTCACCCTGACTTCTGAGAAAGCGCCCCTCGCACCCCGCGCACGCCCCTTCCCTTGCCAGCCCCTCTCCCTCCGGGCCTCTGCTCACCTGCTTCCCAGGCGTCTGGCTCTGGCCATTTGCTCTGCCTGGAATGAATTTACCCCAGCACCTTCTGAGCTCACTACCTCAATCCCTTTAGGCTTTTTCATTTTATTTCATTTTTTTACATGTATATTTTTTAAGGCAGAGTCTCATTTTGTTGCCCAGACTAGAATGCAGTGGCTGCGTCGCTCACAGCAACCTCAAACTCCTGGGTTCAGGCGATTCTTCTGCCTCAGCCTCCCAAGTAGCTGGGAATACTGGCGTCCCCCTTTCCTCCCAGCTATTATTTTCTATTTTTAGTAGAAAGAAGGTCTCGCTCTCCCTCAGGCTGGTCTCCAAATCCTGAGCTCAAGCAATCCACCCACCTCAGCCTCCCAGAGTGCCAGGATTACAGACATGAGCCACCAGCGACACCTTTTCAATGACACCTCCCTGAAAATTAATTTAAAAATTTCATCCCCTTCCATCTCCCCATGTCCCTTCGGTGTTTTATTTTTCGTCAAAGTTTTTATACCTTTCTAACACAACTATACACAATATATGTTGTTTTATTATTTATAAATGTATTATTATTCTATACATATAGAATTCTATATGGTATATTTGCTGCATAAATATATATTAACTGTCCTGTAAATGTATATATTTTAATTCTATGTTTTTTGCATAAATACACATTATATATTTATCCTACAGATTTATGTATTTAGTTGTCTATATTCCATCACCAAAATGTAAGCTCCACAAGGGCCAACATTTTCTTTGTTTTGTTTACTGACATATCCTCAGTGCTCTATAAATACTTATTAACGGTCAACAATAAAAAATATTATATAAAAAAACACTAGTTGGTGAAAAAAGAAAGTATTGTACACTTAAAATTTTGTTAAAAGGGTAAATTGCATGTTAAGTATTCTACCTCAATAATAATAAATCCTTGTGGAATAAATAACATAAATGTGATTGTGAGTAGATGTACTTATTACATGATGAAAATTACTGAAGGCTTTGAGAGCCCGGGGTGAGGAGCAGAAGCTGACATTGCTCACACCTCTTCCTCTGGGCAGCCTTCCTAACCCCACTGAGGCTAAGGAAGGTGCTCTTTCTATGTGCTCCAAATGTTCCTTATAATTGCCCAAGCCTAACCCGGATCACACTGTTTTGTAATCATCTGTTTACTTATCCATCTCCACTAAAACTGCAAGTTACACAAGACTCCAAAAGGGAGGCACCTGTCAGGGTAACACTGTACACCTGCCCATACTGTCCTACATGTAGGAAGCTCAAACAACGTTTGTGGTCATGTTTCTGTCAAAAACCAGAATGCGACTTAAAGGTCTTTTGACATCACTCCTTTCTCTGGTAGTCTGGAAAGAGAAGAGCCGATAACTATGGGAAAACATAACCGGAGGCAAAAGTTAGTTAAGTACAGAAGCAAAAAAAAGCTGGTGAGTAATAGTAAGTTCTAGGGACAAACAGACAAATTTGTCATGGCTTTGAAAAATATTTTAATCTTTTTTATTACAAGTATTTATATTGCCTGAAAAGTCTTGATTGCATTGTTGAATTATTTTTAACAGCTGAATGTTAGAATAACAAATTACCAAGTCATGAAATCAAAATCGTTAGAGAAAGCGAGAGGTCTCAGGAGATAATAGATTTTACAGTGTTATTCTTAAGGGGCACGGAAAGTGGGTGTTAGAACTACAAAAGTTCATTAACAAAAATATTTTTCTGATTTATAATCAACTTTAAGAGGAAAGAATCTTTCCTTATCATGTGTATTCATAAACAGTAGAAACATAATTGCTAAATATCAGCCTTCATTGATTTTTCTTTTAGAGGTTTCCAATAGATAACCGATAATAAATTTATCTACAGTCCTTTATGAGGAGATCATGGCTAGATTTTAAGACTTAAAATAGAATTTTTTTATTTGGTGATAATTCAGGGGATGGAAGAAGTCCTGTCACACACACACATTTGAGCACCAAATTTATCATAAATAACTTTGACTTGGCTTATAACCCGAGCAGGAAGAGGCACACGAAAGCATCTTATCTCATCTTCACCTAAGAAGTAGCATCGCCCACTGCCTATGTGGTTAATATCCAAGCACATCGCCAAAGGGGGCTTAGGACTTTGAAAGGAAAGCCTCCTCAGCTTGCCTGCCTCCAGAACGAACCTCCTGCTTTGCCTGCTGTAGCCACTTAGCGCCTTCAGCCTTGGCTATCCCTTTCCTCTTTTGCTTAATTAGAAATTCAATTTGGTCAATAACGATTTGAGATGCATGATAAGAAGCAGAAATTCAATTCATCAGAAACCTGACTTTTTATTCCTTTCTTACCGCATAATTTTGCAAAATTTAACTCCCAACCAGAAAATGACTTCAACCTGCTGCCTGAAGTATACATTTATTATTTGTTCACTGGCGCAAGGAGAAAACTGAGCTAAGTCAAGTGAGATCCTTTCACACATTCCTGGAAGGATAATTTTAGAACCAGTTTCAGAGCAGACTCTAATTTGAAAATGCCCCTGCCACTTAGACTCACACGGAGATGTTACCAGCCTCACGAAATGTCATCAGATAATTGAGTTTTGCTAGTGGTGGGAGTGACTGCAATCACTCTGGCCTCCTTGCTGGGAGAGCAGGAGGAAGGGGAGGGGGCATTTTATTAGGAATAATTTTAAGGAGGGTGCCATAAAAGCGGACATGCAAAAGCCATAGGCTATTGATTGCAAATCTGGCAGGGCTGTAGGCCGTTCTCATTGCAGGCAGGGCACCTCAGGGCCCGGTAGGACTCCTTAAATCTGTTGGCCAGCATCGAGAACTTGCTGCCGTGGCACAGAGAGCAGGTGGCACTGCCTGACCCTCGGCAGTGAAAACAGTTGTCCTCGGGAAGCTCCCCATCCTGCAAGACACAGGTCAGGTTTAGTTAGAACACCATTTCAAATTTATTGTTCACATACGGGTCAATGAGGGTAGAATGAGGGGAAAACCCACCCCACACATGCCAGAGAGGGAAGTGTCGAGGACACAGAAGGATCACAGCCAGTTTACCAGAGCATTTCCCTGGTGAACGTCTCTAGGATAGCATCCCCGCCACTACATCATGCATTCCAAAACTTCACATTCTTCATCACCCTTGTCACCATCTGATATGTTATTTCTGTAAGCTCCGTAAAGGCAGGAACTTTTTTTTCTCATTGCAAAATACTAATAGTAGACCCTTGTGGCATGCCTAAGAGGTAACAGGTGCTGTTCTAAGAGCTTTCTATATATCAATTCATCTAATCCTCACAAAATCCCAGTGAGACAGTTTAAGTATTATCATCCCATGTGACAGATGGGAAAATGAGATACTGAGAAGCTATTTGCCAGTAGTGACACACAGAGCTTGGAAAAGGAAGAGGCAGGTTTTGATCCCAGAGAGGTAAACACCAAAATTAATGCTCCTAATGACCACACGTCCCTTGTTGTGGCCATCTAATAGGAGGGGCTTAAGAAAGATCAACTGTGGCTCGGCACCTGAGGCTCAAGCAGCTAAGGCCCCAGCCACATGCACCTGAGCTGGCAGGTTCAAATCCAGCCCGGGCCTGCCAAACAACAATGATAGCCACAACCAAAAAATAGCCAGGCGTTGTGGTGGGTGCCTGTAGTCCCAGTTACTTGGGAGGCTGAGGCAGGAGAATCACTTGAGCCCAGGAGTTGGAGGTTGCTATGATCTGTGATGCCACGGCACTTTACCCAGGGGGACAGCTTGAAACTCTGACTCAAAAAAAAAAAAAAGAAAGAAAGATCATTTGTGACTGAGAGACCCAGCGGTTGAATGAGTGAATGAATGGGTCAATCAATCAATCAGTGTTACAATTCTTCAAAGCTTAGCTCTGAATTCTTGCAGTACTTTTTTATTGTCTTTGTGAGCAGTGTAAGACCCAGTGATTAAGAGCTTTGGAGTTAATAGATTAGGACTGAAGCTATTGTCTGACCTAAGCTGTGTAACAGGCAGGTCCCTTAGCCTCGCCCAGTCTGTTTCTATACCTGTTAAATGGTAATAATAATGTTTACTCTTCCAAGTAGTTGGAATATTAAATAAGAGAATATATGCCTCACCAACAAGTCCTGGATGCCAACGCTCCAGAAAATGCCCCTTGAACAGTGTCTTGCTCTTCCCCTATGACATCTCAAGAGAGGTGGCAATACTCATATGTGTATTCCCTACAGACTGGGAACCTTCCAAGAAATAAGGAAAGAGCCCAGACCCAAACCCAGTGAATCCTGTAACAAGTCCCATCCATTTCATCTTCTAAACATCTCAAATCCATCCCATTTTCTACCTCCCACACCTCTAATCCTAGCCTGGGGGCCCAGACCCTAAGGCATGAATACAGAGTGGACCCGGCCTCCAGTCTTGTGAGATGATCTCTCTCTGCTGAGGCAACCTCATTAAGTTGCCTGCAATAGTGACTGCCACATAGAAAGTGTTGAGTGAAGCGGAATGATCATAGTTCACTTTAGCCCTGGGTGCAAGGGATCCTTCAGGAAACCTTTTAATGAACTTTCTCTTCAGATAAAAACTGCCCCCCCCCCACTAACCCAGCCAACTCCTACTTATTCCAGAGTAGCTTAGCAGTTCTTTCTCCAGATAGACTTGCCCACCTACACATCCTGACGAGGAGCCCTGCCCAAGACCCCCTGTACTGCCTCCAGCATGGCAGGTCTCTCTGCTGACCATTCCTGCCAAGTGGACGGGAAACCGTCTGCTCTAGTGCCCTTTCACCATGGTGTCCCACACACCCAGCACAATGCCTGGGACATCTGTGCTGAATGAATACACAAACAGAACAGTGGCATGTGGAGAACCCTTCCTGTTCTTAAATTCTAGGAACCAACAAAATAGCTGGAGTCCACTGGGTAGCTCCACCCAGCTCACACAGCTTTCTTTTCTAACTAAAGAATAAAAATAATCTCGGAACAGGGAAGCATAAGTTTTGTAAATAGCTCCAGTGTGGTGCAAAGTGCCTAAGAAGGCATTGAATTTTACTTTAATAATTCGATTTTGTAAAATTACTTTTGTTTTCTTCTTTAGAGACAGGGCTCACTCTCTTGCCCCGGCTGGAGTGCAGTGGCACCATCACAGCTCTCCGCAGCCTGTACCTTCAAACTCCAAGTCTCAAGAGAGCTTCCTGTCTCAGTCTCCCAAGTAGCTGGAGCAACAGAGATGAGCCGCCATACCCAGCTTCAATTTTATTAAGTCTAGATTTAGAGTACGGAAGTGATTATTCAATGGATCAAAAATTCAAATTATATCTATGCATCCTCTTCTTAATATTGTATTGATTATTGCCATATCTTAATACATCAACTGTAAAGAAATTTGTTTTCTTTCCTTCAAGAACTCAAAATAAATGTTTGCCAAAATAGTCACAAAGAAAATTACCACAACCCATTTTTCTGCCAAATCCATTATTCTTTACGTTTTGTACTTGATCCCAGTAAGATTTCAATGATAAAAGTCAGTGTTGAACAAGAAAGTACAGGAAAATCCTACCATAATGCTGGACTTGTAATCCAAAAATTTATTTGCATAAAATATCAGGTCAGTTAGATAATGAAGGATTGATGAAATGACATGGTGAGCTTGCTATAGAGAACAAAAACAAAATTTTAATCAAATTATGTCTAGGCTTGGCACCTGTGGCTCAAGTGGCTAAGGTGCCAGCCACATACACCTAAGGTTATAGGTTCGAATCCAGCCCAGGTCTGCCAAACAACAATGACCAAAAATAGCCGGGCATTGTGGCGGCCGCCTATGGTCCCAGCTACTTGGGAGGCTGAGGCAGGAGACTTGCTTGAGCCCAGGAGTTGGAGATTGGTGTGAGCTGTGATGCCACAGCACTCTACCCAGGGGGACAGCTTGAGACTCTGTCTCAAAAAAAAAAAAAAATTATGTCTAATGTCACTTTCTAGGGTGCATTATTAGTGTTTCACTGGAGTTTCCATTCTTATCCTGGTTTATAATTTCTTCAACCACTTATCCTCAACAAACTTTTTATTTCAATTAATTCAGTAT